CACACACACACACACACACACACACACACACACACACACACACACCATTTTCTTTCTAATGCTCTCCTTCCCATTTCATGGCCTGATCTTGGTCTTGGGACCCTCCTAACAAAACTCACTCCTGAAAGGTAATTCTGGGCTTCCCTTCCTGTGCTGACCACTGCATTAACATATTTAACACTGTTCACTCAGTGTTACACATTTGAACACCTCTCACCACAGTGGAGACCTCAGGCTTGCAGTCTGTGGGGGAAACACGCACTCAGTCAGACAGCACACAAGGTGCTGGATGGGCACTCAAATGTCTACTCAATACTTGACTCTTTTTGGTGTTGGTAGGCAGGCTGGCCTGGAATTTGATAGGCATAAGCTCTTAATCCTTCTGCCTTTACACTTCCTGGGAGCTGAGAAACAGTTGTGCACCACGATGCCTGTCTATGTGTTGCTGGAGATTGAATTCAGGGCTTTGTGTATGCTGAGTAACTATTCTATCAACTGAGCTAAACATTCCCAGCCCTGGCCTGCACTCTAGATCCTCCTGCTTTAGCCTCCCCACTACTGAGACCATGGATGTTCACGGCCACACCTGACCACAGTATTGCTTTTGCTTAGGTACAGTTTTCCATGACCGTGGTCCCTTGCCTGTGCTCTTCTCACAAGAGGAAGCTCATGGCAAATTTCAAAGTACTGCCCTCCCCACCCTTCCCCAGATTCCAGTACAATACCACTTATCATGGGTAGTTCTATAAAAGGGGGCTTCAGGAGAATGCCCACATCTTTTAGACAAAATAGTTGCTCCCACATTTGGCAGGAAACTCTTTGAAACACCACCATATATACTTCTCTAGTTAGTTCAAAAAGGAACCTGTAGGTCCCATCATGGTTTTTATTTTAGACACATACCTTTAATAGCAGCAACCAGGAGGCAGAAGTAAGCAGAGCTCTGTGAGTTTGAGGCCAGCCTGGTCTATATAGTGAGTTCCAGGCAAACCAAGATGACACTGTAAGACCCTGTCTCAAAAAAACAAAATGAACTAATAAATAAATTAGCCAGGTGGTAGTAGTGCACACCTTTAAGCCCAGCACTCTGGAGGCAGAGGCAGGTGGATCTCTGAGTTCAAGGCCAGCCTGGCCTACAGAGCAAGTTCCAGGACAGCCAGGTCTACATTGAAAAACCTTGTATTGAAAAACCAAAATAAAATAAAATTAAATAATAAATAAAAAAGAATTATCACTGTAAGAAGCAAAATTAGTATGCAATGACTTTCCAAAGGGCACAAGAATAAAACACAACAAGAGTCATTGATGCACTGGTTGTACCTTTATTATTTTTACCTCGTTCACTAGCAGCTCTGTGATGCAAGGTTACCATACACAGTTAAATAATGTCTGCATTACACATCTAGGGCTATACAGCAAAAGAATCAAGATTAGTACAAATACAAGAACTGTATTTACATTTTGTATACTCAAGCTTCAAACATCAGATATTTACAAAATAAAACATGAAAATGAAATCCAAAATTAATAATGTACATTGTTGCTTGTGCTCAACTCCTTCACTGGGGAGAGATCAGTTTGCAAAGTCTTGGTTCAAAAAGGCCACTTATGCTTCATGGGTTCTGTCACAGCATGGGGATGGTGACGAGAGACTTGGCTCTCAACATGTAAGTACTTTAGAGCCACAAAGTCTAAGACAATGTGTAACCATGAGAAGGCTGGTGGAGTCCTTAGGAGAGCTGATGCCAGAATACACAGCATGGGAAAAAAGACAATTAAAGACATGACAAGCAACGTGTAACATCCAGGATTTGGCATGAGACCAACCTCTGCCTGGACTTTCTGTCTGAGCAGCTATCTACTGGGAGGCTTTTGTCTCTGATTTGCAGTACTGGGGACTGAACCAAGGGCATCACACAGAACTGCCAAAATGCTCTATCACTAAGCTACACCCCTAACCTCTGACTGTGAGCTTTTAACACCAGCTCTGTATCAACTCGTAATTTCTGTAAGATAGTCAGGGTGCTCTTAGGATTTTACAGAGCTCAAGTACCTACTTCATAAATGGCCTTTTGAACGGTAACAGCAATCATCTCTAGCTGATGATCTGACTTACTCCACAGTCTTGGTCTTACCCACTCTTGGCGGATACTGGTTATGGTGGATGGCTGCAGTGCACAGCACCAGAGTTTTATTCAAATGCATTCAGCAGACCTTCTAAGAGCAGCAACAGAATTATTCTTTTCTTCTCATAGAGCAAATTAAAGATTACAATTTCAAAAAGGAACCCAAATGAAAAGTGAAGGACCCATGCCAAACGAGCACCCAGCCCTGGTATTGTTCAGGAGTGCCAGAGTCCCAGCAGGCATCATACAGGGTTAGATCATCCCGTCAGTCCAATGTGCAATTCATTACAGCTGTATAAATATACAAACACCTTACAACATTAAATCTCCCTGTAAACTAGACAAACAGCGCAGGTAATGAAGTCTATGCTTTGAAATACATGCCAGACATCATCTGTCCCTAGACCCCCAAAGACCTTTCATGATCAGCCTTTAGTCCTTCATCTAGACAAGATGAAAAAAATGGAAAAAGTAATAAATATATAGATTCCATGTAGCTGGAGGGGAAAACTAATGGTTTCTTAGTTGATGAAACTTCAGCCCTTGCCTCATCAAGTTTCTCATTTAGGGATGGAGTTCAGAGGCCTGCTCGAAAGCAGCCTGGCCTGTGCTCCTGCCTGACCTTGTGCAGGGACTGCCTGGCCCCGCACAGCCTGGGCCTGAGAGCTGACTGACTCCCAGGGTCGTCTCCCAGAAGCAGGCAAGGCCTGAGCACTGGTCAGGGGGTTATGAAGCTGTACTTGCTTGGGAGAAAGGAGGTGGCACTCACTTTCTGTAATTTTTATGTTTTCATTCGAGTTTTTTTGTTTGTTTAAAGGAGTGCTTTGAAAATTAAAAAAACAATTAAAAGGTAGTCTTCTTGAGGGCTAGTTGTCTTAACTTTCCTACTACCATGGCAACCACAAAAATCTCACCAACAGGTCTTTCCATAAACCCTTCCTCTTTCAGAGCTTCAAGGCAGAGATGACCTAGTCTGGAAATGGAGCATCGGCCCCAAACTGCTCAGATTCCAGTCTGAGCATGGGCTACGGCAAGAGCAGGCAGATAGAAACACACCACCACATTTCCTGGCCTCCTGTCGAGGCCGCCTTATCTGGGCATTTGTGAAAGGTGGTCCAGTCCATCCTAACGCTCAGTATTTGCAAAGCAAAGACTCTACACCAGTGTTGTGTGTGTTAAAAGAAAACACAAGTCATGGAGGGTGAGTGGGTCACACAGTTTCCCTCCCTCAGGCTTCACACCTCTCGTCACAGACACGGATCCTTCCATCTAACAGCAGCAACATCGGTGATTTAATTTAAAAGAGACTTTTCATCTTCATTTCCCTGAAATTAGATTTAGTTCTGGTCCAGGAAGCTGTCTCCAAGCACAGACAGAGCCTGCTGGATTTGAGTATACACCAGAGGGGCATGTTGTATCCATTAGACAACAGAGACTTCTAACTACATTAAAACCCTCATACATATGCTTAGAAAACAAGTAACATTACAGTTAGTGACCTATGCTTGAAGAAGAGAAACAAAGTTTTAAAAACCCACCAAAGTATTTGTTGATCATTTTTTAGATAAAAACAGTCTGATTTCTGCCCTTTCTTTTCTTCATGGTCCACTTTTCCTCTTCTTTGCAAGGCAACAGTAACAAAGGGAGCTGGGAGTCCTGTTCTTCAAAGAGAAGCCCAACTGAGAGGTCAGAGGCAAGGGCTACATGCCCCCAGGCCTCCCTAGTGGCTGCTCTGCTGTGGAGAGTGAGCCAAGCAGGGAAATCCATCCTACCACTACACTCGGGTGGAGGCCCTCCCAGAGTGGGGGTGAAAAAACAGGCTGGCAAGACCTGTACACAGCAGCATGAATGAGCCCCAGTCACTGGCCAAGTAACGGAAGGAGCCAAACCAGGGCTTTCTGTGCCCTGCTCAGGCCCCTCACACTTTCGGGCAGGTAAAAGAAGAGCACTATTTTCTGATGGTCTTTTGAACCCTGGCCTGGTTTGTGAGAAGCCACAGAAACTGGGAGCAGGGAGCTCTTCTTCTTTCTAAGGGGGCATTTCCAAATCATGTGGGGGACAGGTCAGGATCCAACAGCAAGCCACCAGACAGCTGAGGACACTCCTCATCCCTAAGTGTCTTCTGATTTGTTTAGAATGGTGGTGGGGACTGGTCAATTCTGGCATCCAGAAAACACAGCCTGCCATGTTGGTTTATAAGGGACAAGCATTATTGGGAATGGCCACTGGATTCCGATGGTGACTTCAAAGTTTATACTGAAGCTACAATTCTTTGATCAAAGGGAGCTACAACAATCACAAGCTGCACTCAGCACTCTCACAGCAACCTTGCTCCAGTTTCTCCCAGAAGTCAAACACTCCCCACTCCCCTCTGTGGGGAATGTATTTGTTCATGGCATCACATAATTCCAAACAGTGTCGCCAGTACCAGGAATGCTGAGGACAGAGTTGGGAAACTCCTAGACAAAAGCCTCCTTCCCGATGCGCAACAGAAAGTCTGCAGTTTCCGCTGTGAGTAACCACAGCCATCATCTAAGGGTTACTCTCCTGAGCCACTGCCCGACCTACTGCAGCAGCCTGGCCTTAAAGGGCCAGCAGCAGCGGCCGCTGCAGGCCTATCACAGACCCTTCCTTCTCTTCCACTCTAAATCTATGCTCTAAGCCCTGATTTGGACAGAGAATTCAATCCCATTTCTGAGCTTTCCACAGCTTTCCCTGAATGGAAATGCAGGGATTAGCCAACAACAACAACAACAACAACAACAACAAAAGATAGGAGGGAAAGCAAGTTTTTTTGTTTTTTTTTTTTTCTCAAGGGCTGACTTGCCAAATGTCTCCTCCCGTAGTCTCTAAGCCATCCAGGAAAAAGCAGTAGTATCATAAATAGGATAAGAAAGAGAGAGAGAGAGAGAGAGAGAGAGAGAGAGAGAGAGAGAGAGAGACAGAGAGACAGAGAGAGAGACAGAGAGACAGAGAGAGACAGAGAGAGACAGAGAGAGAGAGACAGAAACAGAGACAGAGAGAGAAGTTACCCAGAAAACCAGAGCTATACAGAGACAACAGACAGACAGAGATTATGGAGGGATCTACCATTCAAAAAGAAGCTGAAGTACACTGGAAAATAATTTGGAGATTTGCTGGATCCCCTCAGGGTTTGGGTGAGTGTGAGTGTATATGAATATGTGTAGTGTTTTTTCCCCTTTTGTTAGGCCACATGCTACAAGTCTTAGCACAAGAAAAAGAAGAGTACAGAACCATGGAGATAGGGAACAGGAGAGCTGGAGAAGTGCTGGATGAAAGAGAAAAGTAGCTAAGCCACAGGATTACATACAAGAATAACCGTTAAGGATCACAAAGAGAATGAGAGGTAACACTTTCTTTATCTGTCGAAGGCGAGCAAGGCTCAGCAGAATTGTTTAGTATTTCAGCTGGCTCGGGCATCTGCGAGAGAGTTTTGACCTATGAGGGAAATGAGAGGCAGGGTTAGAAAACTGATCTGGTCTCCTCACAGGTGACGCTGCAGACCCAGCTTTCTATGACCTAAACAATGGCTAGACTGTGGTCTTCCCTATTTTGGGAACTCTGTGAGATAAGCCCTCCAGAAACAGCTGAATTATGGGAGTCCACTAAAGCACGTACAATCTTTACTCAGTGCCCCTATCTATAGACATCTTGAAAACTAAAAACAAAAGGAGATTAAGCAGTGAGCACACGTGTCCTTATGGCTGAGGACACAGAGACCTTACTAGAAGCAGGGGCTCCTTCTCACCTTATACCTTCATTACACTCTTGGCTTCCCTCTATTTTCAGCCCAGTTAGAATGACATCTCTTTTCCTATTTATGCTGGTATCTCAGGGACTAAAAGCAAACAAGAGAAGGAAATTGATTCCTAGAGCCAGGCATGGTACTATACACCTGTAGCCCTGGCACTTGGGAAGAGGTGGAGAACTTGGAATCCAGCCTGGGCTACACAGTAGAACTGTCTCAACAAGACAAAATGAAAGTAAAGAATAGCCCTTTACCTTATTGTGCCAGCCAAAAGTGGGTTAAAGGCATATAACCAGTCACTCATGTCCTTGTCGTTGAGAGCTTGCAAAAGGACCCCGCGGTGCTTTGTGCACACAGCAAAGGTGTTAGGTGTCTGGAGAGAAACAGGAAGTAAATGAGAAAGTTATTGTAGAGGATGAGAAGGGGAGCCATCGTGCCATATTCACAGGGCGCACAGTACTTCAAACAGAAAGTTGAGGCAATCCAGACATGAGGTTGGGCCCATCCAAAGACCAGAGTGCCAAAACTGTAAAGAGAAGGATACAGGAAGCAACAAAAATCAGACAGGACAGACTGACCTTCACCATGGCCTGCTGGTCCTCACTGTACTCCACCTGGGCTGTAGACAGGTTAATGACGCCACGCTCTACTGGGTCTTTGTCACTGTTATAGATGAAGACATAAGGGCGACGAACCACAACGAAATGCTTAGCCCAGTTGCTGGAAAGTGGCTCCTTGAAATGCAGGTATCCCTTCTTAGATACCACTGACCTAAGGGAGTGTAAAAGAAGTCAGTTTCTCCTAAAGTAAATGACAATAAGCTGAGAATCGTCAACACAGGCTTCCACTAGGCAAGCCCTCAGATGCAGTAGGACATGCAAATGGTTCATTTGGCCTAGATTCTCATTGGTCAGTGCAACACAGAAAAAGAGCAAATGCCACAACAACGCAGAATGCCAGGCTCTGTCCGACACCTGATGCACACAGCAGAGCGAGTGGGAGTACTCTCGGCTGGACAGGCTTGCACATAGGCACTAGACAACCACTCCTGATGCCTGTCTCTCCTCTTTGGCAAGAAGTGAGACAGGCACAGTACTCACCCTGCTCTCACTTCTTCAATGTCTGGGACAAGATTGAGAAATTCATGTTTTCCTGCTCGGGCCAAATAGGGTGTCTCCACAGTTGGGATGATCTGAAACTGTTCAAATTCTTGGCAGGGACTAGAGGCACGAGAGTTGGCTTCTGGGGTCCTTACAGGGGAAGAAAAGGGTAAGAAGCACTTCAGGAAGATCAAAGCACATGGACACCACCCTACCAGGACACAGTGCCTCTGCCTGAGTACCAGAGCAAACACCAGCTTCAGAGTTCAGCTAAGACAAGCTGGTGTTACAAAGGTAATTCTCAATTCAACTTTATGCTGTCTTTGCAAAAGGACACTGGGGACCACTGAGTCACAGCCTCTCCTGCTATTCTCTGAAAACAAGCACTGAATATGAACTCTATTCCCTTGTGATTTTTCTATCAGTCTCATGGCCAGACCTGAGGCAGCGGTTCTCAAAGCATGGCACTTGACTGGCAGACTTCACAATCAGAAACTCAGGGAGCTGCTTGGCCACTGTACTGTAGCAAGTTTCCAAGGGTTTTTAGTAAGCCCACCATCTTAGGGGACAGTATAGAACGCAAGCAATAAGAAGCATCTAGCTTCCTAAGACCACAGGAGCAGGGTGGTGAACTGCACCATCCCTTAGGTCTCTGTTCTGGTTGTGTTAGGGACCTCCTAGAATGGCTTAATTTGATGATACTGTACCTTTCTGATTCTAAAACTGTATTTTGCTATTTCGTGTGTGTGTGTGTGTGTGTGTGTATGTTTGTGTATGTTTGTGTGTGTGTGTGGTGTGTGTTTGTGTGTGTGTGGTGTGTGT